TAATTCACGTATCACCACTGTCACCTGTCACCGCCCATCAGGCACTGTCGATCCTCTTTGTCTCAAAACAGATTGAATGGACTTTCGCTCTAATGCCTCATTCTCACTTGCGCGAAATTCGCTCTTTTTTGACATTGCTTCGACAATTTGACGTTTGATACACGCATAAAACGTCAAATTGTTGAAGCAATGTCAAAAAAAGAGCGAATTTCACGCAAGTGAGAATGAGGCATTTAGAATTGAAAATGTTATAACCTTAGACAATTGAACACACTCGATCTCGATGGTTATAACAATATGTTCGATGGTGATTATAGAGGTCTGTTCTCACAGGAATCACAAACCAGTCAGAGCGTTTTTGATTGGCGCAAATCTCCAACAACCAGTTTTATGACTATTTTTAACCAATGAAATTCCCTTTGACTGGTTGGTGAGAAATCTAAGGAACAAACCTATCAATGAACTCATCTCTGACTTTGCAAGCAAGACGTAGAGCCAGACTGGTTCATTTTTAGTGTTGATAATTTAATTAGTTTTGAGAAACTATATTTGCGCTTAGTTAATTTGAAAAATACATATTATGTATCTATCTACAGTATAGATCTGTTCTCACAGACATTACATACCCATCAGAGCGAATTTCATTGGTTGTAAACTATCAGAAAACTGGTTTCTGGCGATTTGCACCAATCAATAACCCTCCGACTGGTTTGTGATTTCTGTGAGAACAGACCTCATGTAATAAGTAAACATATACTTATTTTAAAAAAATGAAGTTACTTTTTTTATATTATTCTCCTACTCTCTAAACGATAGCCTAAAATTCATTGTTTAAGTATCATATTGACCTTTGACCATTTTGGCAATACAATTTGAGAAGGAGAGCGCCAGAATTGAACTTTGCCTCGGCATATAATAGCTATTGGACCGGCCCTGTGGATAGGCGACTAAAGGCTAGTACTCATAACTGCGAAATTCACTCTTTTTTGACATTGCTTCGACAATGTGACGTTTGATTCACGCATAAAACGTCAAATTGTCGAAGCAATGTCAAAAAAGAGCGAATTTCGCTGTTATGAGTACTAGGCTTAACCTAGGTGCTGTCAAACCTAAATTAAAATGTCCGCCAAGAGGCACACAAGCTCTTTGTTTGCTTGTCAAAGTCACGTGTTTTGGATAGGCTAATAGGGGAGGAGGCGACGTCACCTGACCAGAAGCGGTAGCGGGTCCGCCATACTGATGCTAGTTTTATGTCATAACTTACTGTCATTACAACTATCATACTCAATTTCTGATTTCGAGACGTAATACCTAATTTTTGCTTATTTTGGTGTTTTTTCGACCTGCTTGTGTTGTGTATGAGAGAAGTATAATGTCTTCATGTGCAGTAAGAAGTTGCTGCAGCAGGTTTTACGTAGAAAAGAAGAAATCAACGGGAATATCATTTCATAGGTGAGTATAAACAACATTCAGGATCGGACTTCAAATTTTTTGTTGTAGTTTTAATATGTAGTTATGTTTTGAGGGTGCAGATTGCAGAAAGAAGATACTTGAATATTAGAATGGCATACCTGACAAAAAATAAACCAAAAAAACCCATTAGTGAGAGACATCAAAGCAATAAGCTTACATTATTTAAGGGTCAATGAAATTTTTATGTAGACAATAAGATTAAGCGATGTGGTAATTTTTTTTTATATCCTGCCTTTATATTTTTGCTAACATTTATTAAATAGTTGTTTTTTTTTAAGTGTTTTTGTTAAATAACGATATTTTTGTTCCTTCTGTATTATAAATGTGATATAAATATATTTTTTTTACTACTAACCTGAGAAATTGTCATTATTCAATCTATTTTTCTAGGAAAAAATTGAATTTCTCTCCCTAGGTGAATAATGAAAATAATGAAAAAATACCTAGGTTAATAATGAAAATGACGTCATGACGCAAGGATATTGTCATGTTTCTATTGGTTCAATTTCATTTCCATACGTCAATTTGAAAAAAAATACAGGTTTCTGTAGGTACATAGGAAGTTATCATAAGCTGTTGATAGAGGGCAGCACTTTCAAGAGGGCGTTCAAAAAAAATAATTGGAGCACAGATTTTAAACAAATTTTTCATTTTCTACTAGCAGTAGTAAAAAAAATTCTATATATTCCTCGGTAGAGAAAGTCATTATATACCTCACTCATTATAAACCTCGGCGCGAGCGCCTCGGTTTATAAAAGCGCTCGGTATATAAGGACCAACTTCTCTACCTAGGTATATAATATACTATTATTCTATCGCGAATGGTAAACTATCATTTAATCGACTCAAAACTCGTTGTTAAAGTAACACTTTATTTGGAGTAGTGAAATCGCTAAGATTTTTACCCACTCATTTGTCAATTTTACCCACTCATACGTCAATTTTACCCACTCATACGTCAATTTTACCCACTTGTTCAAATCTTTTATAATAATTATAGTGTTTTTGACAGAAATCAGAGTTGATGCATGATTGACAACACCAGAAATGTGTCAGTTTGTTAGGTACTTTGTCAACTTGTCATAATCTATGTAAAATTTTAGCACATTTTAGTTTATGATTTTAGTAATTGTGATAAATAAAAAGTTGCTCAAGAATAAAATAGATTATTACACACGACGGTAAAAAGCTTTACCTGTTAGTGGAATTAATCCACTCGCTCCTTCGTCGCTCGTGAATCAACATTTTCCACTCACAGGTAAAGCATCTTCTTACCGTCTTGTATAATAAATAACTAATCCCCACATTCAGAAACAATTTTTAGGCCACATAAAAACAATTAAATACATGTAAAAATTGAAATACCAATAGAGTTTGAATTTTAAATATATTTGAGCTGAATCCAACCCTGATCATGCGGCCATATTGGTGCTGGAATAAGCTCCAAAAAATGATCCCTTTATCAATGCATACTCGTATATGGCAACAGCGTCTCCTTTTATATACTATCTCAATGACCGTAACTAACTTCTCATGATTATTTCAAATGTCATGTCATTCCTTCATGTCGTTTTGGAACCCACTTTTCTGAAGGTGTTCGAACGATACAGTCGTACTGGCCCCTAAATAATAATTTTGTCCCTCGTCCCTTCAGAAAGTCAAAATTTTCTCAGTTACCTCGATTTCTACCTTTAAATGCTTATAGTGGCCTAGTGCTTGTGGAAATGTTTTTCCTTGTGTTTTCGAGAAAGTTCCATAACCTCATTTGATACCATCACCGGTAAGTTTGGTTTTCCAAGTTTATCTAAGGCATCCTGCCTAATTTAGCCTTGTATTATAGCTTAAAGTGCATTTGGACTGCCTGGGAGATGCCCTCCATCAATATTTTCGTGGTCGAGCCACTAATTTTCTGTCCAGATCCTTAATTTTCAAGGTAAGCTTGCAAGGGTTGCTATAAAATATAAATGTAATTATTAGGATCTACCGAGGGGCTCCAACTGTAGTGGTGCCAGTCACCAAAAACCACTACACGTTTCCTACGAGAGTGTGCAGCTCGCAGCCTCCAGCACCTTTTCGCATGTCTTCATGGTGGCCCTTATGAGGGTTTTTTAATTGAACTCACCCTAGCTCAATAGGCAGAACATTGATCCAGTATCCTGAGGATCATGGATTAAATAGGTTTTTTATACTTATGAGTTTAACTTTATGTCTTGAATCCTTGGATTTAATTAATAAAGTTTGGTCCTGATCAGGCCAAGAGGTTAAGGGTTGTATTGTACTGTAACATTGCACAGGGTGCAATGAATTGTTAAGGAAAATTTAAGCTTTTTTTTAGATATAAGGATTTAGGGAAAATTTTTGCTTTTTTAGGTTTAGGAAATTTAACGGGGGATGTATATATTTTTTTACACTCAGGCTTTATTAACATCAAGGCTTCAATTTAATAAACAAAAATGAGTGTAGACAGTTGTTACAATTATTTTTTTGATTACCTCCTTTTCAGATTTCTTTTATTATGCATTTTTTGATAAAGTTCATTTGAGGATTTGGAACTTCAAATTTAAATCTTCTGGCGCCCACTAAAGACACTCTTTACTCATCCCAATTTTGCTCTCTGGCGAACAGCTGCCACTGTAGTACCTTTTTTGTTAAAAAAGAGAGACAAAATCCAAATTCAATATTAAACTTCATGCTCAATGTAAATTACACAACGGCCATCAGTTATAACATATTCTAGAAGCCTAATTTAAACTATTATGCTACCCACACGAATAACCAAAACTTTAACTGAATGATGAGGAAGTTTCCTAATTACTACTACACCGATACCCTGTTTGTGCAATACGAAGAAATATATGTTGGAAATTCCATCAGAAGGAAGTCGTTATCCGGCTCTCGTAATAATAACTGGCTGCCGGTCTAAAATGTAATACGATAAAGGTAGAGGAACTTTAAACCCGTTTAATATGAAATAATAAGGGGGTCGTAAATCCATTATTTTGCCTCATACACATGCAAAATTGAAAAGTAAGAAGACTGGATACGAATAGGAACTCCGGTATGCGAGGAAGTATGCCGCACGGATGTGTTTTGAATACGCTGAATATTCTCGTTGTTCGTGCAAAAATATACCGAGTGAGATTTTTTTTTAACTAATTAAATACAACATAGAAAATATTCTAGGCACGAAAGCGATGTCTGTAGAATAACGAATTATTTTAATCATCTAATTCTATCCAGAGTCTCTTTTATGCCTCCGAGTTCATTTTCTTTTAGAAGCGCGAGCCTGACTTGTTTCAAAAAAAAATATATATATATATATATATAATATAAAAGAGCTCTTTTATAGTAGAGTAGTATCTTGCCTTTAATTTATTATTACGGCATTTGGCTTAATTAATTAGAAAAATGAGCTTTCGGGATAATTAAATACCTTTTTTTGACCTTTAATTAAATTCATTTGATTAAATCTGCTTGACAACATCAATAGGTACAGGAGATGAATATTGTAGAATACATTAACTCACCTTCATCATGGTTGCTCCCCAACAGCACCTCCATATCCTCATAATCACCTTCAGCTAACATATCCATCGGATGTTTAGGCAAAAACACTCCCTCTATAGTTGGCGTAGAAGGAAATCCCAATATCCCAGAATACGAATTCCATTGCTGCAAAGATATGGTTTTGGCGTCGACGGCGCGCATACAATCCAAAACATCGTGAGGTTGACTTTCCATCAACGTAATGTTACAGCCGCAATCCTGGATCAGAGTTTTGCCAATAGATTCGGCCCGTTCGCCCGACATGTAGCTCCAAGGTGTGTTCATGGTGCCCGACTGTAGGATACCGCGTTTCGCTAGGCCTTTAGTGACTGGGCTCAGTAGGTGAATGCTGACCGAACCTCCACCAGCAGACTCTCCGAATAAAGTAATCAATTCTGGATCTCCACCGAAAGCTTTAGCGTTTTCTTTTATCCACCGTATTGCCAAGGCTTGATCCCACAAACCCATATTTCCAGGCGCTTCCTCGCTACCTCTAGGGAAAAATCTGTTGAGATACAAAAAACCAAACGAACCGACTCGGTATTGCATTGAGGCTACAATGACGTCACTGGTCGCAGCAATTATATCGGCATCGTAAATGTCGAGGCTGGCCGTACCGCTCATATAGCCGCCTCCGTATATCCATATCAGCACTGGAACTTTTGGTCGTTCCATTGGAGGCTTATTATCGTGATGTCTAATGCGCAAACGCTGCGGAACCCAAATATTCAAATAAAGGCAGTCTTCTGAGATATTTGTGTTCGGGTTCCACATTTCCTCACCTTCGAATCCAGGGAAATATTCGTAGCGTTCCTGGTAGCACGAGTTTGGTAGTTTCGTAGCATCTAGCACTCCGTGCCAAGGATCAATTGGCACTGGCCGTCTAAATCTTAATTGCTCTATTGGAGGTTTTGCAAAAGGAATACCTGTAAACACGTGAACTTCTCTACCGAGCACGGTTTTCGCATGTCCACGCACGAATCCGCTATTGGTTTCCACTACCAATGGGTCGTTACGGTAGTCTTTATTCGACCTGGTGGTCGTTTCCTCGCTGGGCCACGAATAACCACGAACCGCCGACACGGCACCGGAACTGAGGAAAAGAACAGCAACAAAAATTTCCATTTTTATGTCCATGTCCCACACTTACGGCTTACGGGCGCATTATCTTTCGTATATATCGAATCGGACGCACGTGGTGTACAAAATATCTGTTGCTCTCCCGATTTGTTATCCAGAAGAGAACTTAAAAACTACGAACGCGTCGGCGTGAATTGAGCCAGCGAGTGGCCCCGGAGTGCACGAAGACGCTATTTTGATGACAAGCTGATTCTGACTGTGAGCGCAGCGATTCTCCGAGTAAATTTTGATGGGAGGCTTGCGCGGCCAACCTAGAGCCCCGGTCCCGCTTTATATTATTCAGTGTCATCATACGAAGCCGCTTAAAATTTAAAAACTTTTGCTTTTTCTGTAGAGGTACAACGCGGGACGCGGCTCGAAGGACCATACCGGAATTTGTTTTCGGGATGATTAGGATTTTAGCGGCGACGACTAATACATCTAGTGTTCTTTTAAAAGATATACTATACAATTCATTCGGATTCAAATACAGATTTTCATTTTAAAATATTTACTGCAAAATTTTTAAAATTGCATCATATAAAATTATCGATTTCATTGGCAAATTATTCATCGAGCAGCCAACCGCAATGAAATTAATACCGTTTCTTTCGAATAAAAGTAGGTACCTACCTACTACAAGTATGTAGGTAATTTAAGAATGATAAATTAAAATTATTGTGCCATTGCAATATCACTAATAAGTAGATGGAGTTTTCTTCTTGATTTATTGCATGCAAGATTACAGAGTTTCTAAAATCTCCTATCCGATCGCTAATAATTGGCCTAATTTATTAACTACTAACTGAATAAGTTTACGTATGCGTAATAATGCAAAGCAAGTTAAAAACAATTTTATATTCAACATGTTGTATTTAAGGATTTCCGGGCTGTTAATTAAGCACACACGTCACTACTTTTAACGAAATATATTCTCGCCGATTCTGACTGACTACTTGACTGACAGTTTTCATGAATTATACCTCTATCATTCAATTTATGAATTCCAATCATATTCAATTTTTTTTTATATTTGCCATCGCTTCTGCTTTTTTCTTTAAAAAATAAGCAAATCTAAAACCAGAAAAATCATCCTTCAACGACAAAAAATACTTTCCATCACCCAACGAAGACACTTCCATTAGAGCCTCCAAATCACCATGTATAAGCTTGCCAACACTATTAGCTCTCGACTCACTATGTGGAAATTTCAGCCTATGCTGTTTTCCTGCTAAACAATCTTAACAGAATGGATTATCTATATCTTTATACTTTATTCCACTTCTTTTTAACAAATTCTACTTGATTGCATTGTGACAAAATACCTTGTGTATATTTTAAGTTCATTTTGTATAGCCTCCCTTTTCTATGAGCAACAGCTCTTTTTTTCCCATTTTCATCCAACAATTCACATTGATTTTTGTCTGAATGCATTACAAGGCCTCTATCGAGAACAGTACTCAATGAAAACAGGTTAACATCTAATTCAGGTACCTACCAGCAAAACTTCAAGTAAGTTTGCATCAATCCATTCTTTTCCATTAAATGTTTGCACGTTCACTGTTTCTATTCCTTCTACATTTAACAAAATTCCATTTCCAACTTTTACTTTTCTCAGCTATGTAGATTTTCGGATTTCCACAAACTTTTATCTGCTATAACACATAATGTTCTGTGGTACCGCTGTCTAGCCATCAATCATGGTTTCTTCTAATTTCTCCAGTTTTTTTCTAGGATATTTGTGTAATTTAACAAACTAGACATTTCCACCAATACCTGTGTTGAATGAGCTTTCCAGTTTCTTCTATCCCTTTCTTGATTACCCTGTTTTTCGTTTCTCCTATATTTGTCTCGATATATTTGACCATCTTTGTTAAACCAGTAATCTTTTATCAAGTGACCTTCCTTTTTACAACAATGACAAACTCTTTTTTTTAAAGTGGATATTCCTTTTTCCAATGTCCCGTTTTGTTGCATTGAAAACATTTTACTTCCTTCACTCGATCGCCCCATGAGTAGTTCCGTGTTTTCTTTTTTCTAATAGCCAATGCTGCTCCTAAATTTTCTTGTGTATTTCTTTCTTCCTCTACTGAAAGTCTGTACATAAGCTGTGAAAGCGTTTGTTTATCTTCTGGTCTGGTGTCGAATCCCAAACCAAAATTAAATCCTTTAAATTCTCTGGTAAACAAATTTTTGTAATTGCCATTTTGTCACTTATTTCTTCATTTTGCTGCTTCAACTTTCCCTATATTTCTTCTATATGTGATACTAGTTCAGCTATGCCTCCAACTCCATATTCAAGTGGAAAAAATCTTTGTTGTAATGAATGCACACTCACCTGTGATTTATTTTCATGAATTCAATTTTTGACACATTTCTACAGATGTATCACACGCCAACACATGATTAAGTGGTTTTTCTTCTAGCCTACTAACAATCACTTCCTGAACCTTTGCATCATTCATTAACCAATCAGTTACCTTTTTCCCTGTAGATTTTCAAAAAGACTTCAATATGTCACCTTTTACTATGTCCGAAAGGTTTTTAGACTCAAATAAAGGTATCATTTGTTTGAAATTTCCAAATAGTCCAATTTTCTCCATTCAGTTTCACGACCATTGTATTTGTCTGACATTTTTCTTGTTACCTTCTTACTATCTCATCCTCAATCATCTATTTTTTTTGCAATTTTTAACGTGTGTTAATTACCCGTATTAACTGACAGTAAGTTTTTAACCAGACACTACCTACTTGACAAGTTTTCTCTGTCAGTTTCAACTAGACACTACCAGCAGTAGGTACTATTGACACAACCTGATAACTTGATAAATTTTCTCTAGGCTGGGTTATGTTTTTATCTATTTTTCCACTCCCGAAATCCTTTTTCTTCCCTCTTTGTCGACCAGGCATGCCTGGGCCCATAACCTGTTGTATCTAGGGATTTCCGGGTTTTTATTAAAGCACACACGACACTACTTTCAACAAAATATATTCTCACTGAATTGATACGTCTAATAACTTTTTACAATTCTGACTGAACAGTTTTTTCAACAAATAATAATTTTATTGATAGACTGTCAAACTAATAACACAACAAAGTCCTGGATCCACATCTTTTTCTGAAAGCATGAAAAATATAAGGATAAGGATAAACTTTTTTGCACTGATTCTACAAATGGAAAGCGCTATAAGAGACCTCCGGTTTATCCCCTTCAATCAGGTTGCCAAATTGTTACGGATTAATTTTATCCTTTCATGACTTTGGTTTCAAAAAACTGAAGCTTCCAAGACTAAAAACGACTACTGGCAACGCGCTGCAATCGATTGGCATTTCAACGCACCCACCGAATATATATTATACCTACTAGTAAGAGACACATAGAGAGATAAACGAGTTGCTCCCGTGCGCATTTCTTCCTTATTTTGGTCAATCAATAATAAGTTCAGACGGAAGGGCGAGTCTTACACCTCTGAAACATCCCCACCATGATCCTCCTTAAGCAGCTCGACACCCCTGACCCATGGGAAGTCTTGTCATCACAACAAACATCAGTTTATGAATGAGATGCGTTGTCTATTTGTATTAAGATGTCATTGTTCCGGAACAAAAATTTGGTTCTAGAGCAGATCAATCTTCTGAGTCACAAGTACTCAACCAGAAAACAACCACATGCGCTGATCTGCTCAACGCTTTTGATAGAGTAGACCGAGCTTATTCCATTGACTGATATGGTTTCATGGTTTGTAACAGAGTACCCCAAGGGCGGATGCTAAGACGAGACCTATACTCTATCTACACATACGACATAGGTACCGAAAAGCGTATGCAGATTATTGTGCCATACTAACTGATTGCAGAACCACTTGATGGATCAGTCAGAAAATCATCTACCAATAGTGGTAAATTAGCTTGAAGATCAAGATTGACACATGGAAGGTTTCCTTTTCCAAAAAAGACTCTACGATCTCAATTGAAATTGAGGGTGAGGACATACCAATGAAGCTTGATGCTTGGGTCTCACCATGGAGATTCAAGTCACATCTAAGGATCACGAATCAAAATTATAGGAGCAACGAATGGCCCGACTTTACTCGCTAGTTTACAATTCCGGTGCACTGACGTACGTTACTCTTGGTACGTAGTCTGTCGTAGACTGATTGATCAATTTCGTTCTTATTCTGGGTGAGAAAAGTTTCTAGCGGAAGCTTCTAACTCTCTCTAACTAGGAAGTTCTCTATCTGGCTTTCTAAGCGTCTTTACGGTGCATTTCTGCTGATGCCCTTCAAGCTTGCAAGAGTCTAAGGTTTCATCTGCCAGTTCTACCTACTCAGAACTACCTACCTACCTACCTTCTTTTGAACTCTTCACTTATGAATTTCTTGTCTAGTAGGTGCGTTCGAGCTGATTCTTTTCTTGTCGATGGCTCGCATCGCTTCGTCTATCAATTGTTAGAGGTCTTGCTTGCAGTGGATTGGAAGGTTAAAAACACTTGACTAAACTACAGTTTCTTTATTGAAAAGTTACTAAAAAACAAAATAACAAAATATTGTACCTTGGTAGATGCATTTGTCAGCTTAGCATTGTTCGGAACCAAACTATCTTAAAACGCTGTCAAATTTTTGGTTTCAGCACCGGGGTGCTTATTTGAGTCCATATAGTGACTTCATTAGTTTTCACACTTTGTCAGGCTTCGGAAACCCTTCAGGTACCTACCTCCATATATATTTCTTCTGAAAGTTCACCATATAAGAAGGCTGTCTTGATGTCAAACTGTTTGATTTTGTAGCCTTTGTGTGCAGCAACAGACAAAACAACTCTGGGCCCGGATTCCGAACACACGATTCGATTGTATCGTCCATATAAAATAGATAGACGATACTATCGAATCGTGCGTTAATAATCCGGGCCCTGATTGAATCATGCCTTGTTGTGAGTGAAAATATTTCAACATAATCGAGACCTTCTTTCTGTGCGAAGCCCTTTTGCACATAACCTAGCTTTCTATCTTTCGATTTTACCTTGACTGTCGTATTTCACTTTAAAAACCCACTTTGATCCAATTGCCTTTCTGTCTTCTGGAAAATCTTGTAAAATCCATGTCTGGTTCTCATTGAGAGCATTTATTTCTTCCTGTATAGCTTTCTTCCATTTTTTAGAGTCATTACAACTTAATGCTTCTTCATAAGTACTTGGGACCTCTAGCTCTACTAAATATA